CCCCAAAACCCCAAAACCCCAAAACCCCAAAACCCCATCATACATGATCTAGTCTAGAAATCATAAATAAAATTAAAGACTATTAAGGCAAATGCGAATTAGAGTGATGAAGAGGAAAGAGTTTACTTGCCTATTCTATGACCAATCTATGTACTGTGAAAGTAATTTATACTACTAGCTCACTGACTCTTGAGTTTGAAGTGCTCGAAGATCTCATTGAGTCTAAGTTCGAAACAGGTTACTGGGTACTTAATGTGGAATGAATCTAACACTTATGGGTGAAGCACTCCGAGGCTTCCAATTACCTTACCGCTCAACACGACATTAGCTCCTCTTCTTGGGAAGTACATGGGATCATCTGATTCTTGAAGTCTATAATCTTCTCCATGCTTGGCTCCAATTTTAGTCATAATTAGGTCAACTACTCCTTGAATAATTTCGAAGCCAGAGTTAGTGTTCATATACATAGCGCTGATTCTTCTCTCGTTTCTGGCAAGAACATCTGAGGTATCATCAAGCATTGCAACATCACTAACCTCGAAAACTTTCTGAGGAAGACTCTCATTCATATTAGATTGGAAGACCTTGAGTAAACCTGGAATCAAGGAAGTTCTGACTACCTCGAATTCAATAGTCTTTGGGTTAGAGATTTGAATTGCTTCGTTCTCATTGAATGGCTTGTTGAGGAATTCGTAGTTCTCCTTAATTGACAAAAGTGACATAGTCAAGCATTCAATATACCCAGCTTGGCCAAGTTCAATTCTGACTAAATCAGAGAATTTATTTAATGGTTGTTGCATTCCAATAGTATTAGTGGGTGGGAGCTCTCTTGGGATGTTATTGTAGCCAAAAGCAATACCAATATCTTCAATAATATCACAAGCATGCAATACATCACTTCTAATGGGTGGAACTTCAACTACTAGCTTTGTAGTGTCATCCTGATCCTTGATTAATAATCCCATCTTTTCAGCGCATTCCTTTGCCTTTTGGATATCCATACTAAGTCCAAGAGTCTTGTTAACTTGGCTGAGTTGTACTTCGAACTCGTGATAAGTTAATTACGGGAATACTTCAATTCTGCCATCTACCTCATGATGAACCTCAACTTGCTCAATAGTAAATTCACTTTCTGGAGCACAGTGGCTGGAGAACAAACCTGCTACGATGATTAAACAGATTTCAATCTTGTGGAGATCAGTTCCTGTCATTTCAATAAATACATTCTTAGTATCAAGTGAGACCTTGGTAGCATCAGAATTAATAATGGGTGGAAGTGAAAGCACTTAACCATTGGCATCATAGAAGACTGGGAACTTTGGCTTGTTCTCAATGATATGTAGGTATTTCTTCAGCTTCTAGTCTTGTCTGAGCTTTTCGAATAATTGTTCAGCATTCATCGACTCAGTTTGCTTTAGTGCCTAGAATACAATGTCTCTTGGGTGTCTGGCCTCGTAGGTGATTGGTCCCTGAATCTTGTCGTAGTCATGAGTGCCCATTGAGCCTAGAGTTCTCTTTCTGCAAATGTTTTGATGTAATTTGTCTTGAAGATCAATGAATGAGTTGTAAGACTGAATGTCAAAAGTAATGTTTCTGAGAATAGCTCCTACCACGAATGGTCTCACCTCCTAAGTCTCGGGTTTTACGATGATTCTCTCTAGTGGGCCCTCTCTCTGGTTCTTGATGGTGAGTCTTGGGATCTTTCCGAAGCCAAGATAACTTTTCAATATCTATGAAATACCTTCGAGGCACAATAAATCATATCTGTTGGCAGCTACCTCTAGCTTATAGACCTCTTCCTTGCTGATATCAATAGCAGTTCCTTTATCATCTACTCTAGTCATTTGCATCTCTGTTCCGTCTCCCTATTCCATTTCAAGTCCGAACTCGAAGCAAAGGTTAATGAACTCCTCATCAGCTATTGAACATATTAGATAAGGGCAATGACTTACTGAATTCTCTTCCGATGAACTTGAAGAGCTCTTTTTTCATGACATTTACGTTGGGCATCTTTGTTTGATTTTAACTTTCTGCTTAATATTTAATATTACTTCCAGAATATCTTTTACGATTTATGTCTTGAAATTTAGCAACATGGGGTTTTGGGGTTTTGGGGTTTTGGGG